AGATTCTTTCTCTCAAAACTAAGGTAGTTGAATTGGAAGGTAAGTTGGAGGACTTGAAACTGGATCTGGTGTTTCATAATTCGAATGCAGTAGGAGGGGTGATAGAGGAGCTGACCTAAATAAACTCATTCGAACCTAAAGAGATTGATTCTTTCAGGCTTGAATTGAAACGGGTAAAGGAGGATTTTAATTCAAAAAAACATGAAATAGAATGCATAGAAAAAGGGATAGAAGTGACACATGAGATAACCAGTCGGAAAAGAGATGCTTTGTCTTTGGCGTGATTAAATTTAATAGAAGAAAATTCTCGTCTTCAAGAGTTAGTATTAAAAAAGGATAATGAAGTAGATCCTCCATCCTCGTCTATAAACGATTCATCGCAAAAACTACCAGGTTGACTCAGTGATGATTTAAGATCTCTCGTCTATAAGTACGGTCTTGAAGATAAGATTATGACATTCGATAAAAGTTTGTCAAAGAATATATATTAGAAGCTTTGCAAGAACTATTACTCCAGAATGAGATAGTTTTGAGAAACCAGGCAGTTACCCTACCTAATCAATCTGTTCATAGTCGACCAACACATTCTGAAAAAATTATTTCAAGAGAAGGGGTTGCGAAACAATCAGATAATGCAGAAGTAGTATCATCAGCTCAAGCAATACCTCTAACACCAATTATTCCTATTGTTGTAGATTCCTTAATGTCGCCTATATTAATATATTTCATACTTATCTTATTACTTATTGCAATTATATGGTTCGTAGTTAGGAAAAAAATATGGAATTCATGGAGTGCTAAGCTGAAAGAAAAAAAGTGACTGATACATTCAGATTAGCGATTTACACCTCTGGGTATATTCAAGGCTGGATTATATGATTAGAGGTCAGAAGTTTGAAGATTGAAATTGAAGTTAGCCAGTATTATTGCACGAGAAAAAATATATAAATAATATTATAAGTATTCTAGCAGAGGTGTAGCAATTTTAGCTAAGAGTACTTATCCATATAATTCAATGATCTCATCTATATCTGCTTCAGACAAATCATCAAAATATCTAGAAAGTTTATTGTAAAGTTTTTATATATTTTTTAAGCCATTTTTTTGCCTCGTTCTAGAAATACACATCAACCTGCTTTTCCCTCTCATCTGAATCTTTAATCTGCATAATATTATATGATAGAGGCGGTTGGTATCTTTTATCATATTAATAAAGTGGATACATAATCCCACAGTTTTTTCCAAATAGTGATCGATATCTATTTCTATATTGAGTTCTTTTGCAATGTCTAGGAACTCCATGTAGTCTGCAACTCTGTGTGGTTGCTTTTTACCATTTTTATCATAAAGGGAACCTTCTTTTACTACTACAAAACTAAAGCACTCATCTGGATCAGGAATCTTATTCTTATATTTTTCCTTCATCCGTCCTATGAAGTGCTGAATATATTTATTATCTTTATTAGGCTTTCATGTAACCATTGCAATAAACTGGTCAAACCCCCATTGCTTTAAACTAGTTTTTCTAAGAGTATCTTTGACAATTTATGAATTGAGCGTGTATTGTTAATATCCATAGCCTCTCACATAATCTTCTCTCTAATGAATTTGAAAAGTTGAGACTGATCTTACTTTACAGTATTGATCCCTTTAGTGAAAAGGCTTTTTGGTTTAAAGTTTACTACTTCTTTATGCCCAATTCCAAAATACTTTTTTTTACCAGTAAAACACACAGGAAACAATACTTCTTCATACGCAATCTTTAAATAAGAGGTACCATTTTTTATCTTAAGATAAGTATTGACTTTATTGCAGAATTCATCTATCACTTCTATGGTAATTTTAACCATTTTAGTCTAGTATGCCTCTTTGGAAAGCTCGTTTTTATTGAAGGTTCTATCACATATTTCATAATATTTATCTGGGCAAGTGAGATACAAAGAGTCAGTATCCCCATATTTGATTCTAAACCCCTTTGCTATAACGAATTTAGTAACAAGATCAATATTGTATTGTCCTGCTGAAGTAATTCCTCCAGCTAATTCGTGAAGGAAGAATAGAGAGTTACTGTTACCTGCTTCGCCATAAAATGTATTCATATACACCTTCAGAGTGAATTGTTTTGAGTTCAAGCAATTATAATCAAAGCATAGGGAATCATGTTTTGATTTTAAAGCATTTGGTACAATTTTACCCTTCTCTTCTATGGTGCTTATAAGCTTTTCAAGACGCTCCTTCTCTTTGCGTAGTAGGGCAAACTTTGATTTAAGATCCACTCGTTTATTAAACAGATCCTCTAGAACAGTAGAATATGATGCGAATGGTCTAAAGCCATCCAATATTTTAAAATGCAAAGAAATTTTATTTAAATATATAATTGTTAAAAA